GTAGGGCGGCTGCGATGTTGAAGTGAGATGCCAGCTTTGTCCAGACCGACAAGATAAGAAGAGGCAGTGGACAGATGGGGGTGGCAGAGTGAGAAAGTGGGCCGTGCCTGGCCTTACAGTGCAGGAGAACTGTTTGCCCTGGCCATGCACAAAGCACTGCAAGGCCCGAGGTGCCATGGGAGGTCAGGACACAGTCCCTGCCCTGAGGACAGGTGCAAGCAGCAGCAGCTGGGACAGGAATGGGTGCGCCCTGTGGAGCAGCTTGGCCTGGGGCCAGGGGAGGGCTTCGATGAGAAGGGGACGCTGAGAGGGAGGTGGGCTGGGGCTGCCCCGGCTCGTTTGGGGAGCGGAAGAAGGACCGGAGCCCTGAGAGGGTTTTAGGACACAGAAAGAGGCAGGGACTTCGTAAGGCCTCAGTGAGGAGTTTGCGAGTTAGGAATGATGGGAACCTATCGGAAGAATTTAAACAGGAGTATTACTGTACCCATGAGGGTTAGGTTTGACAGTGAACCAGAGACCCTGAAAATAGCGGCTTTGAGAAGATAGAATTTTTTTTTTTTTTTGACAGGCAGAGTGGACAGTGAGAGAGAGAGAGACAGAGAGAAAGGTCTCCTTTGCGTGTCACCCTCAATGGCCGCCGTGGCCAGCGCGCTGCAGCCGGCGCACCGCGCTGATCTGATGGCAGGAGCCAGGTGCTTCTCCTGGTCTCCCATGGGGTACAGGGCCCAAGCACTTGGGCCATCCTCCACTGCACTCCCTGGCCACAGCAGAGAGCTGAAGATAGAAATTTAAGTGGACAAAAGAAAAACCGTTAAAATAATGCCGGTCTGACTCCAGATAGTGCCGCACCTCCTCCAGCCAGGCTGGTTGGAGATCCTCGTCCCACTCTCCCTAGGATCGGACCTTGTCTTCATGATACAAGTCGGCTGGAGAGCTCCAGCCATCACACCCAAGTTCTGGGCGTTAGGAGGAGGAAGTGAGAGAAATAGGGTGCCCCTTCCCTTTAAAACCCGTCGCTGCCTTTCAGCGTACATCTATCTCATTGCACAGAACTAGTCCCAAGGACGCCCCGCTGCAAAACGGGAAATGTAGTCTGTGGCCATCAGTGTGTTTCCTTCTTGGGCTTCTTGTCCGGAAGAAGAAGGGGAGAGTTGATGTTAGGAGGAAATCGACAGCCTCTGGCCTGGCGGGAAACAGAAGAGAGGCAGGACGGAGGCACTGCACCCCGGGCCTGGGAGGCTTCAAGGCAGATCGGTCCAGCAGGGCTCCGGGCCTATGGGTTCCAGAAGCTGGGCCCGTAGCGGTGCCGCCAGATGAGGAGCAAAACAGGAAGCAGAAGGGTGCTGCCGCACAGGACCACGCCCCGGCCCCTGCACAGGGAAGTGAGGCAGGGAGGCGGGCTCTAGCCCACGGGCTGGGCGGCAGAGTCCAGGAATCATCAAATGCAGCCCCCCCCCGGCCCCCCGCCCCCCCGCCGTGGAGCGCATCCATTCCAGTCGCCCCTCAAGGAGCGAGCCCAGGAGCAGAAAGCACAGAGTTGAAGAGAGAACCACACTGCCCCCCTAGCACCATGGCTCTGGGGTGCCTGGGGGCGGGTGTTTCTCCCCTGGCACTTGGATGCTGCCGCCTTCTAACTGGGCTGCCCGAGACCCTGACAGTGGGGCCCCAGGAGGAAGCTTGGAAGACTTGGCCGAGTCTCTGGCCTGGGACAGCACCAGACTGCCCGAGGTCAGCCATGCACCGGGGGGCAGGGTGGGGGCAGTGCCCTGACTCACAGGCCTCGCTCTGTTCCTAGCCCCAGGTGCAGGCCCCACCCCTGCTCTCCAGCCCACGCCTCCCTGAGTCACCACTGCCTGCCTGAGGCACCCAGAGCCCAGGCCCCACGGCCACCTTTCAGGTCACCACTGCCAGGGCAGGCCAGCAGCCCAGCGCTGACCCTGGGGAGCCAGGCTGTCTCGGTGGGCAGCCCCGCATTGTCAGCTGGGGGTGACTTGGGAACCCAAGGGCTGGGCGTTCAGGACGCTGTCCCCAGGGAACCGGATTTGAGTGAGCAGGGTTGGCGTGTCTGGCCAGCCTCCAGGCCAGGGGCAACTTCCTTCCCTGGGCAGGCAGGGGGCACCACTGCCACAACCCTCCCACTGACCCTGTGCCGTGGACAGACCCTCCACCTGAGTGGCTGTGCGGCCAGCAGGCCTAGAGGGCTTTGCCCCACCCCTTCGATACGGAAACCTGCTGACCACACGCCTGCTGACTTCCCTCCCTTTGTGTCTCTCCCGCCCTCAAAAAAGGCCTGTGGGTTTTCAGTACCTCCCACTCGTGTCCTGGGCCGTGTAGTCTGCCTCTCCTCGGCCTTCATCGGCGGGCTCGCAGTGGACCAATCATCCAGTGATAACCACTGCACCCAGCCCGAGGACAACACCTCCACCCCAGAGGGCCTGCCGCCCCACTCCCAGCTCCTCCATCAGGTGTCATTGCCATCAGAGGTGTGGGCCTTGACTGCTCTCAGCACGCACAGCTCTGCCCCCAGCGGCGGCCGTGGAGACAGAAGGCTCTGAGTCTCGAGTGCCAGCTCTGCCAGTCGCACCGTGGCCTTAGCCGAGTGCCTTCCTCTCTGGAGCTCCGAGGCTCCCCACCTATCAAATGGGGATTACGTACTTAGAGTGCTTGGCACTGCTGCGGCAATGCTAACAGGCCTCCCCGAACTGAGTCAGTGATTCAGCTGAGGATCAGAGACCCAGGGTGGGTTCAGCTCTGTGCCATGCACCCCAGCTCCTCTTTCTGGGGTGAATGGGGAAGGCTGGGCAGGTTCACAATGATGATATAGGTCCCGAGTACACAGAGACCCCAGGGCCGCCTTAGGGACAAGCTGCTGCCCCCACGCCGTTCCATGGGCCACGGCAAGGCCTGTGACTATCCTCAGAGTCAAGGAGATGGGAACACCCTCTGCCTCTAGGGAGTGCACCTGCAGAGATTCAGAGAGGGCTGAAGAAACATGCCCATTGCTGCAGCTGCCAGCTCCCTAGTGAGGAAGCGGAATGTGGGGCTGGCGCTGTGGCGCAGCCAGGAAGGCCACTGCCTGTGAGGCCGGCGTCCCGTGTGGGCTGCTCCACTTCCCATCCAGCTCCCTGCTAACGGCCTGGGAAAAGCAGTGGAAGATGGCCCAAGAGCTTGGGCTCCTTGCCACCCATGTGGGAGACCCGGAAGAAGGTCCTGGCTGTTGTGGCCATCTGGGGAGTGAACCAGTAGATGGACGATATCTCTCTCTGTCTCTCCCTCCCTCCCTCCCCCTCTCTCTTTAACTCTTTCAAATTTAAAAAAAGGAAGCAGAATGTTTGTGCCCAGAAGCCCTTTTTGAACCGTGAAGTGCCGTGTGTGTGTGCAAGTGCCAGAGATGGCAGCTGTGTGACCTCCCCCAGAGCCTTGTGAGTCTCCAGCAGGTTTACTTACAGCCGCTGAAAACATGAGGGGAAGGGAGAAGAAGCCCGTGGATTATGCAGCCCCTTTCCTGCAGGCCCAGTGCTGTCCTTGCCTGCACAGTGCACCTAAAGCAGTTCTGCTACAGCCCCTCCCAGAGGGTGGGCCACAGGTCACAGAGTAGGAATTCATCCAGTCGTTTTATTATGTACACACACACACACATACACACTCACACACACATGTGGTATGGCTTTGGTGCAAAGTGCATCCCAGTACCTTGTAGAGCTCTATTATTATTATTTTAAAAGGCAGAGTAACAGAGGCACAGAGAAGGAGAAAGATCTTCCATCCACTGACTCACTCCTTAAATGCCCACAACAGCCAGAGCTGAGCTAGGGTGGAGTCAGGAACCAGGAACTCAGTCTGGGTCTCCCACATAAGCGGTAGGGGTCCAAATACTTCAATCATCGTCTCCCCCCTCCCAGGGTGCACATTAGCAGGAGGCTGGCGGGGAAGCACAGGCAGGACCCCAACCCCCGGCACTCCCATGAGAAATGCAACTGTCTCAGCTTAACCTGCTGCATTGAAGCTGCACCAGACACCAGCCCCTTGAGGTTTGAAGGTGACCTGAGGGCTTTTCACCAGGTGTGCTGGCTTGACCGCTGAGCCCTCTGCCCCGCCCACCCTGAGGTCCCGGGCTACTGTGACCCTCAGTTAACTTTAGTTCTCAAATAACCAGAAACCTCCTCTTTCCCCCAGTGTAGCCCAGTTCTGGGGCTTTCGCGCCACCTTGGGTAAGAAGTGTAGGAAATTGTAACTCTAGCCAAGGATACTGATTTTTAATTTTTCCCCCAAGCAAAAGTAGCGTGCAGAGACCCAGTTACGAGAGTAGGCGAGAGCTGAGCGATGGTGGTTGAGAGGGTGGAGACACAAGCCCGTCGGCCTCCCTTCCCGCTCACGCACACCCTCGGACTCCAAGGGCAGTGGTCTGGGCCCCCTGCGCCAGGGCTTCCACACGGAGGAGGCTCCACAAGGCCCTCGGAGACCAGAGCTCCCGCCTCTCCTGGGTAGCCTGCTGCTGTGCTGGTGGGGGCCTTGTCATAAACCCAGCCCCCGCCCCGTCCCAGCCAGGTGGGACCCTTGGCTGGCCAGGGGTTTCCTGTCACCGCCAAGGCCTCCAAACCATCTCCGTGTCCCCTCCCAGGCCGACGCCAAGATGGTGTGTGACGTGGTGAGCCGGATGGAAGACACCGAGCCCTTCTCTGCAGAACTGCTGTCCGCCATGATGCGACTCTGGGGTGACTCAGGGATCCAGGAGTGCTTCAACCGGTCTCGGGAGTATCAGCTCAATGACTCTGCCAAATAGTGAGTGTCCCGGCCAGGGGCTGCCCGGACGGGGAGGGGTGCGAGGGGCCGAGGTCAGAGCATAGTGAGTGTCCTGGGCCAGGGGCTGCCCAGAAAGGGTGGGGTGCGTGGGGCCGAGGTCACAGCACAGTGAGTGTCCCAGGCCAGGGGCTGCCCAGGCGGGGAGGGGTGCGAAGGGCTGAGGTCACAGCACAGTGAGTGTCCCGGGCCAGGGGCTGCCCAGGCGGGGAGGGGTGCGAGGGGCCGAGGTCACAGCACAGTGAGTGTCCCGGGCCAGGGGCTGCCCAGGCGGGGAGGGGTGCATGGGGCTGAGGTCAGAGCTGAGGCTGAACCTGCTGTGAGGGATTCTTCCACTGGTGCTGGTGGCAGGAGGCGTGAGAGGGGCCTCTCTTCTGCCCCCAGGACAAGGAAGAGGCCAGGGAAAGCGGGGACAGGGACACGTAGACCTGAGAGTGCCTGGCAGCCCTGGAGGAAGGTTCTCGGTGCCGCAGCTTTGGTTTGGTTGGTTGGTTTTCTTTCCTCGAGAGCCCCTGACTCCAAAAGCACAGGGCAAGAGAGCCATGTGGGCAGAAAATTCCTTAAATGCTGCCATTCTGTATTTTAGAGATAATGGTAAACTTTCCATTTCTCTATGTTTAAAATGTAAAATGATGAAGAGTAGAGAAGTGGGAAAAGCCAGGGTGGTCAGAAAGGGGGCCAGCAGAGAATGTGCTGCAGGCGTCCACAGGGGACCGTGGGGTCACCTGTGTGCCCCTGATGTTTGTCCCTTAGCATCTTCAATGGTGCCCTCACTGGACACCTGCCCTTGGCTCCCAGGCCGAGGCTGTGAAGCCCTGGGAAGGTGGGCGTGGGCCGGGGGCATCTTCTGCTCTGAAGATCAGGGCCTATACCTGGGCTTTCCAGAAACACATCCCACTTGGACAGTGTGGTCCCCAGGGGCCCCGACCTAACCCGCTCCGAGGACAGACACAGTCTCCCCAGCCCCACCCATGTCTCTCTCAGCCCAGGGGACACTCAGCAATGGCAGGGGACACTTTTAAATGCCACGACTAGGCTAGTGCCCCCGGCAGGCAGTGGCTAAAGGCCAGGGATGCTACCCAGCACCGTACAGTACCCAGGACAAACCTCACAGCAAAGCATTATCCAGGCCAAAACACCAGCCGCATGGGGATCAGGAGACCCTGATCCGCACAGTGCCAGCGTGGCAGAGCCCAGGGCCAGCGAGACAGACTTGCTGATGGACACGTGCCTGCTTCCAGTGGCCACGATGGCAGCCGACAAACCTGGACTTGAAGCAGGCCAAGAGCTTCCTATTCTGCACACCTGGTTGTCCACAAGGCAGAGGCCTAAGTGGGTCCTGGGAGCCTCAGCTGGTGGCCACCCAGGGTCCCAGGTACTGAGGAGCCCCAGGGACGCCCTGGGAGCAGGAGAGAGCCCAGAGCCTTCCTGCCCACGGCCCCCTGCACGCTTCCTTCACAAGCCCAAGCCAGGCTGAGAGGATGATCTCTGGCTGGCTCTCTGAAGGGGACCCCTGGAGGACAGCAGGGCTGGCAGCTCCTTCCCTCCTACTGCCAGGCCCAAGTCCCAGACCTCCTCCCCAGCTGCCAGCGGGAGCCTCCAGGTCTCCCAGGGGCAGCTGGCCTGAGTTTGTCTCCCGGTGATTCATCAAATGGTGTTCTCCACTTACATTTTGACCTATTTCATTAATCATCAAATGAATCCATTGCAAAAAATTTTTTTAAACAATAGCGAGGTGTATAAAATGAAAAGTGGTCTCCTGCCCCTCTAGGTCTCGTCCCTCCACCGCAGAGCGGTTTCCACTGCCGCATCCCAGTGGTGTCCAGACAGAGTGGGCCTCCAGCTGTGCAGTGTTTCCAGACTCCCACCGTGAAGCCGGGGGGTCAGCTCCCCTCCCTCCCACCCCTCTCCACTACTACCTCCAGTTCTTTGCTGGTTGCAGGATTATTTTTTTTTTAACTTTTATTTAATGAATATAAATTTCCAAAGTACGACTCATGGGTTACAATGGCTTCCCCCCCCATACCGTCCCTCCCACCCACAACCCTCCCCTTTCCTACTCCCTCTCCCCTTCCATTCACATCAAGATTCATTTTCGATTATCTTAATATATAGAAGATCAGCTTAGTATACCTTAAGTAAGGATTTCAACAGCTTGCTCCCACACAGAAACATAAAGTGAAAAATAATAGATGATTTTTTTTAAATGATGATGAAATCAGATCAGACCTATTGTCATGTTTAATCCCAGTGAGAGTCAAGTTGGGAATTGATAATTTTTTTTTTTACAGAAGATCAGTTTAGTGTACATTAAGTAAAGATTTCAATCGTTTGCACCCCCATAGAAACACAAAGTGAAATATACTGTTTGAGTACTCGTTATAGCATTAAGCCTCAGTGTACAGCACATTAAGGACAGAGATCCTACATGAGGAGTAAGTGCACAGTGACTCCTGGTTGCAGGATTATTTTTAGTTCTCCTGCTGGTCACCATTATAACTTTCAGTAAGGCTCTTGAGTCGGTATTTGTCAACTCTGTCCCCACTAAGCTGAGGAAATTCACCCGCCTTCCCTCTCGGCTCAGCATCCTGCCAAGTGCTGCCCTGCCAAGGTTTCACAGTTCTCTCCTGCCTTCCACGGTTTGGTCGTCCATGTTCCACCTCCAGGAGAGAGGTCCATGGCAGGGAAGACAGGGGTACCCGACAGTCAGTCAGGAGTACCTTTTTTTTTTTTTTTAAGATTTATTGATTTATTTGAAATGTTCAATGAGAGAGTGAAAAAGAATGCCAGAGAGGGAGCAGTACCTTCCACCCACCGCTTCATGCCCCAGTTGGCCACAACAGCCAGGGCTGGGCTGAGCTGAAGCCAGGAGCCTGGAACTCCATGTGAGTGGCAGGGGCCTAAGCACTTGGGCCATCGTCCGCTGTTTTACCAGGTGCGTCAGCAGGGATCTGGATCAGAAGTGGAGTAGCAGGGACCCAAACTGCCACTCCCATGTGGGATGCTGGCAGCCCAGCCCACTGCACCACGGTGCCAGCCCTGTCAAATGTATCTTAAATGCGGTCTGGTCCAGGGCTGCATTGTGGTAACTATTTTAGCAGTTTAGCCTCATCTCGGACCCAGTACATAAAACAGGTAAAAACGGATGTGTATGTGTTGGGGTAGAAAGGAGGCAGGCCCGGCAGTGCAGTCACACTGCACACTTACAGGGGGCGCTGTGTGCATCCTACAGCCCCCCAGTCACCATGGCTGCAGCCCTGTCCTTTACAGGTGAGGACCCAGGACTCAGAGGGAAAAGGGACAATGCCTGGCGTGGCCAGGCTCTCACTTGTGCTCAAGTGTGCCTCAAGCCTCAGTGAACGGGGCTGGCTCTGCCACTCTGGGCAGATCCCACCAGGGGCCACGCAAGTGAGTTCCCTGGCTTGGTGAGCTTCGGTTTTCCTGAACCAGCTCCCCGCTGCATTGTCTGTGCAGGCAGTCCACGTTTCCTCCCCTCATGCGCTCTCCTGTGCCCCTGTGGGCAGCCTCTTACTCCCGGTCCTGTGGAGACACCCAGCCAGCTGCGCGGTCACCGCCTCCTGTGTGCTCCCACTCGGGCCCCAGGCCTTCTCCCTCGGCACCTTTCCACCCGGCCTCAGCCGCTCAGAGTGCCCCACTGCGCCTGTGGCCTCAGCCTCTCCCTGTGAGCACCTGAGGCCTGAGTGACCCTCTCCAACCTCACACGGGTTTTAATTCCTCCTACACCCAGATGTCTCTCAAACTGCCATCCCCCACTCTGCCCCTCCTCCTGACTTCCTTTTTTTTTATTTTTAATTAGTTCATTTGAAAGGCACAGTTAACCAAGAGAGAAGAGACAGAGAGAGAGATCTTCCATCTACTGGAAGATTTGGTTCACTCCCCAAATGGCCACATAAGCCAGGGCTGGGCCACGCCAAAGCCAGGAGCCAGGAGCTTCCTCCAGGTCTCCCACGTGGGTGCAGGTGCCCAAGGAATTGGGCAATCTTCCACTGCTTTCCCAAGCCACTAGCAGAGAGCTGGATCAGAAGTGGAGCAGCCAGAACTCAAACTGGCACCCATGTGGGATGCCAGCACTGCAGGCCGTGCCTTGACCCACTGCGCCACAGCTCCAGCCCCTCCTCCTGACTTCTGTCTGCCCGTTTGGGCACCTGAACATAGCCAAAGCATGCTGGTAGAATGCCCACTCCCCACCATCCCCGCAGAAGCCGCTCTGCCTGGCTCTTCCCTCTCTCTACAGGCATCTCCGTTCTCCCCCCCACCCCCGAGGTGTCTAACTCGCTTCTTCCTCTCTTCTCCCACCTCCAAGCCACCAGCAAACACAGCTCCCTTTGCAGAGACATCTACCATCGTCACCGCCTCCCATTCCCCCGCACCTGCCGCCCTGGCGCCCGCTGCCATCCCCTCCCTCGTGCAGGCAGAGCCACCCCCCTGCAAGCCCCCCTGCTCCGCTGTCACTGCGGCTGCAGAGCCCCTGTTTCTACAGCCTCCCAGGGGCTCCCAAGTCGCTCAGAGTAAAAAGCCAAGTCCTCAAGGGCCTGCTGCCCCCTCCCCGATTTCACTTCTGGCCCCTGCTCCTGTCTCAGCCCAGTCTCACCCCTACCTGCCTCCACCAAATGTGCTTCCCGCCTCCCTGCTTCCAGCCTTGCACCCCTGCAGGCCTGCCTGCCAGGCTCCAGCAGCGCTCCGTGCCCACTGCTGCCTCTGCTGGGCCTCTCAGGGCTCACTCTCCAGCTGCCTCCCACTCTGCATCTGGGAAGCTTTCTCCAACCACCCTGTAGCAGACAGCAGCCCCTGGACCACTTGCCCAGTTCTTTCCTCTGCCACTGACGTAAGACAGCTCTTCCCTGTTAGTTATCACACAGGTGCACACAGGCACATGCACCCCCGCTGGGAAGGTGGGAGCCACATGGGTCTTGGTCTTGGCCACTGCCCCATCCCCAGCTCCCAGAGAAGCAGGTAGGTAGGATGTGCAGGGAGTACACATTCAGATTAAGTAGCTTTAACCTCCCCTCCGCTCCCATGGCCATCTCCTCCTATGAGCCTTGGCCAGCGTGGCGCGAGACCAGAAGATCAGAGGATCTGCTAACAGATTTGCCCATCTGGGGCAGGAGGGGCAGGACCAGTGGCTCCCAGGCCTGGTGTCTAGCTGGAGATGACAATGTTGATGACAAGCAAGGTTATCTTCTAAAGGACCAACACAGCAGAGGCCGTGGGGCCTGCTGGAGAGACTGAGACCAAAGCCTGCCCAGATACCCACAGCCTAGCAAGGAGACTGGGGGGCAGCTGGAATTCACAGGTCTGCTCTGCAGCCCCACGCCCTTCCACGGAAGGCCTGGTCAGGCTCGGGAGAGGAGTGTTAGGAAAAGAGCCCTGATTCCAAAGACCTGGGCCCCATGGAGGCCCCGCCACTGCCTGCCTGTGTGACCCCTCCCCAGAGCATCCAGCGCGAAGGTGCACACAGGCCCCTCTGCAAGGAGGAGGCACAACACAGCGGGCGGTGCTCGGGGACCTGGCTCAGCGTCGGGCACCTGAGCACAGCGCTCTGGAGCCAGCTGTCCAGAAGGTGCCTTGTCTGCGCTGCGCCCCCGTTTCTAGTCTTGGGGGACTGAAGGTTAGAGCACGGTCACACAGCCTACCTGTTGGCTTTTATTTTTGTTTGATTTGAGAGGCAGTGCAACAGAAAACTCCCGTGCACTGGTTCATTCCCCCAGTGCCCACTGTAGCTGGGGCTGGGCCAGGCCAACACTGGGAGCTGGAAAGTCAATCCAGGTCTCCTGTGTGGGTGACAGGAACCAACTATTTGTGCCGTCACCTGCTGCCTGAGTGACGTTAGTAGGAAGCTAGAACTGGGAGCAGAGCCGGGCACAAACCCAGGCACTGTGACACGGGCTGTGGGCATCACAGGCAGGACTTCAGCCACTGTGCCCAGCGCCTGCCCAGTACAGTTATAAGCATGACGGTCTCATTTAAAAGCTTGACCTTGTCTGAGCGTGCCTGGAGCCTTGAACACAGCCCATCAGGGTCTGAATTAGAGACCCTGAGAACAAGAAGCCAGGATCGTAAGTTCCTTTTCCTCAGCCGTCCCCAGCCCCCACCACTACCACCACTGACCTCCCCCTTTCCTGCCACCCCAAGTCAGCCTTCAAGGGTCCCTGGTCAAGACAAGACTTGGACAGTAGCTGGCCCGGCGAGCCCTGAGCAATGCCTACTGCCAGATTCATGATCCCTTGTGTGTTACCATCCCCAGCTACCTGGACAGCCTGGACCGGATTGGGGCCGCCGACTACCAGCCCACCGAGCAGGACATCCTCCGAACCAGGGTCAAAACCACTGGCATCGTAGAAACCCACTTCACATTCAAGAACCTTCACTTCAGGTGAGGCCCAGTGAGGCAGCCAAGAGAGGGGAGACCCCAGCCTCTCAGCCCCAGCTCATCTGAAGCAGCCCAACAGCGCCTGCCTTGGGAGCTACCAGACCAGGACGGGCAGTTAAACTCCAACAGAGTCTGGGTGTTCACTTTCTGCCAAGTTCAGGGCTTGCAGTGGGGCTGTGAGGAGCTGGGGTAGGGCGGTGGGGGGTGGGGTCTGGGTGGAAAAGGAGGAGAGGCCAGCCCTTGAGGCAGAATCTGAGGAGGAAGAAGTGGGGGTCACCCAGGTAGCCCCACAATATCTGTGAGCCCTCGAGGATCCACCCAGGCTCATAGCTGCAAGATGCTTAGGGACGGCTAACCCATCTGCTCCTGGTACATGTGGGAAGGCTGAAGCCTGAGCAGAGCGAGGCTTTCCCCAGACACAGAACACAGCTGGGCCCAGGCACGGGGTGCCTCAGGACAGGCGGAAGGCTGGATTTCTTGGCCTCTGCTTGAGGGTAACCTCCATGCCCTGTGCTGCCTTCCAGGTGAGTTTTCTGGGTGTGAGTGGAGCGGAAAGAGAGGCTGGGGGAAAGGGCGAGCAAGGACCTCAGACCAGCCAACAGGTGCACAGGCCCCAGTCCCTGGCCCCTGCCCAGCCTGGGAGGGCTGGAATTAGGATTCCTTGCCTCCCCGTGTCTCCGGCCCCTGGCCACTCCTGTGCAGATTAAGTAGCTGGGACTCTGTTATCTAGGTTCCTGGGCCAGCAGGCAGCCTTTTCCTTGCTCCAAGGCCAGCAGGCCTGTTTCCTTGCTCCAAGGCCAGTGTGATCTCTGCCGACTGTCCCGTGCACACAGAGTCAGAGAGGCCAGCCCACTGCAGCAGCGGTGTACCAACAGGCTCCCCGGGTCCAGGGTTGCAGGGCCCTGGGCTCAGGAGATTAGCATATGAGACTGACCTGTTGTTTCCAGGATATAAGTCCCACCTGCCCTCAGTCATCCTCCAGCCTGGGCCCCTGGGGGATGGAATCTGAGAGGGGCAAGGGGCCAGGCTTCCATCCGCCAAAGAGGGGCTGAACGGGGAGGAAAGGTGAGCACCAGCCTTCTGGGCCGGCAGGGCTGGCTCAGACCCGAGTTCCACCACGTTAGCTCTCTTGGGGAGCTCGGGCACATCCCTGGCCCCTTTTCCCATCCAAATGTGACAAGTGACAGCTCCTGCCTGCCTGCCTCCCTCTCCAGAGCATGCGTGCAGAAGAATAGAGTGTAACTGTGCCCATGAGAGGAGTTCTTAGAGGCGTTACGGGGGTGTACCCCTTAGTATAACTGTTCATCTGCAAAGACAGGTCTTGGAGTCATGACACGTGACTGTAGTCTGGTCCCGGGGAGGCCCCAGAGCAGTGAGAGCTGCCCCGAGCCCAGGACGGCCAGTCCATCAGTCAGTCCATCAGTCAGTCTGACAGCACTTGGAGCCAGGTCTCCTCATGAAGCAGAGAGCATGGTGCCCTCCTTGACCCCCGCTCAGGCCACACAGCTTGACGACCAGGCTTCCCTGCTCCTGCATGGACCCTGCCACCCACCAGCATCCCTGTCTTCCCGGCAGGCTGTTTGACGTCGGGGGCCAGCGATCTGAACGCAAGAAGTGGATCCACTGCTTCGAGGACGTCACGGCCATCATCTTCTGCGTCGCGCTCAGCGGCTACGACCAGGTGCTCCACGAAGATGAAACCACGGTGAGTGGCCCTGAGCCCGCTGGGCAGGGGCAGCAAGAAGGGGCTGGCAGCCCAGCCCAAGGCAGCATGGGGTTCCTGCAGTGCAGGCCAGCCCCTACACGCACGTGGGCCTCGGTTGCCCACAGCGGCTCTGGGGCCCAAACTGTGGCTGGGGTTCCACTGTGGACGAGTAGCCACGCCAGCTCGCTCCTCATGGTGCCAGTGCAGCAAAGGGGGCCGGGGCCGTGCAGCCCAGGCTGCGTGCACACTGACCGCCAGCACCTCTGCAGAACGTGGGTCTCGGGCAGTAAGTGTGCTGATCACAGAGGCAGGAACAAATAAAGCCAATTCTGAGACGAAGGCAGGGTGCAGCCCAACACGAATGTGCGTACAGCCGAAGTGGCCGACTCTGCCTTGAGAGCCCTCCCTGGGGCGCCAGCCAGAGCTATTGCGCTGGGAGGGGCAGTGGGCAGAGGCCTGCCGCTCAGCAGCCATCTTGGCCCTGGGCTCCTTTGCAGGGTGCCAGACCGGGCTCCCAGCTTCCATCCACGCGTCGCATTCAGCCTGGGGCCTCTCACTTTGGTGTTGGGACTGCCAGACCAGCTTCAGAGGGGGCGCTCCTCTGGAGAGAGAGAGGGTGGCGCCTCTGAGCCTAGCCCTGCCTCTGCCTCTCGCTGGCTTTGCTGTCAAATGTGGGCAGCACCCCTTGTGCCTCCATCATGATCACCTGTAAATGGGGGTAATCATAGTTCTCGCCGTGTGTGTGTGTGTGTGTGTGTGTGTGTGTGTGTTGTGGGGAGCGGAGATGCTGTTGGCAATGGAATGAGATAATCCACACACAGTACTTCAGTACTTGGTACCGTTTCTGGCACAGCAGTGCCATTGGTGGTAGTTTTGTCGCCGGAGACTGCCTTGAGTGGGTGGGTCTATTGAACTGCATCTACCTGGGGCTGCCCACAGAGTCCACGAGGGCACCCACAGTGTCGCTGGAGCGAAGGCAGAGCTCGCATCCCGTGGGGCTGTGCCCTGGCGCCTGTCTTTCCTTTCTGTCTGTGGCACGCCTAGACCCTGTGCTCCCAGCCTCCAAGGGCGGGCACTGAGGGTGGTGGAAGGTGCTTGCCGTCACGCTGGGCCTTGAGCAGGGGCTGTCTTCTCTCGGACTCGGAATTTCCTTATCGGCCCTACCCCTGCTCATCCCACAGAGCTGCCGCGAAAATGGGTTGGGCTTTGGGGTGTGGGCTGCAGCGTGCAGTGCCGTGGGGAGACGGAGCCGCCGCCCTGAAGGGCTACACAGGGTGATGAGGCGTTTGGCAGGTGGGGGCCTGGCTGCCAGCCAGGTTGGTGACTCGGACCCACACCATGCACTGGCTCGTCCTGAGTGGGGTCTTGGCTGTCCCCATTCACAGCGTCCACGGCTAGTGGTGGTGTCAGAGGACCCAGCCTAGTCCCCGCCCTTGAGGGTGGAGCCAGGGTGGGACACTGGCTGCTGAAAGCCAGGCTGGGCTCCCAGCAGTGCACAGCAACCAGCCCCGGCACGCCCTGCTCGGTGGAGACCCGGCTCACTGTCCCACAGCCAGCCTAGGGTCTGCCGGTGATGGTGCCTCCTGCCATGGGCTTCATAGTCGGTGGAGGAGCTGGAGGGGGCAGGGCTGGGAGGCCCTTGTCACTGGAGTACGGCCTCTCCCCGGACCTGCTGTGCCAGGTTCACAGACAACTTGGACCCAGGTTCCAGGCCTGTCAGCCATGGGGCTGGGCTATTGCTTCCCTCTGGAGCACAGCAGAGATGCAGAAGGACTTCTGGGTGGCAGTCAGTCCAGGGAGGATGGGTCTGAAGGAAGTGCCAGACCTCACACTGGTGCAGCTTTCTCCTGCCCTTCAAGTCCAGGCTGGCTGCCACCGCAGATGGGCACTTCCCCTCCCGCCTCCTTGGCCCCCCTCCCCTTCCTGCTCCCCTCACCACCCTCTGCTGGAACATAGAGCTGTAGGGGAAGCAAAAGTGTATGGATGGCTCTTCCTGAGCCTCCCTCCTCAAAGCCCCTGCAGGGAGGGGGACTGGGTTACACACAGCCCACGGGAGCAGCTCATTGCCGTGTTAGCCACAGGAACCGCACCGTCGCAGTAGAACCAAGCATCGTCTGTGCCCAGGGCTTGCGCGCAGAGTTGGACACCTCAGGGCTCAGATCTGGACTGGTCTGGGGTCTCGCGCCAATCACCCCAAGACACTGTCCCCTGGTGTCTGCCTCCCCTGCCAGCTGTGTGACCGTGGCACTCACCTCACCTTCCCTGGGCCTCCTCTTCCTCCTCTCTAATGGTAGCGATGGCAGACTGGCCTCGGGGTGGTTGTGAGGGCCTCGGAGCTATGAGCCACGGGCAGGCACATCTGCTGCTCCGCGTCCAGATGCCCGGGCTTGAGGACAGGTTGCGGGACCTGGACGCTCTGCCCAGGGAGGCCAGCAGTAGGCAGCAGTGACCCAGCTCTTGCCTTCCCTCCCTGGCCTAGGGGAGAGTTGGGGTTGCTCAAGACAGAAGTGTGTGGAGGCAGCTCCTGGAGCTAGGCCAGGAGGGTCCCAGGGCTAAGTGGCTGCTGCCTACCGGACCCCAAGACCTCATCCAGTCCTCGTACCTGCTCTCAGCGCCGCCCAGCTAGGCCGCGGGCGGCCACAACTTCTCCACCACCACTGCCGCCACCACCGCCTGCAGGGCCTAATCTTGCCAAACCAAGGCCCAAAGCATGAGCAGATTCTGAGAGACCCTCCAAGCCCGGCAGGTATGAAGCATCTCCCTCCAGCCGAAACCACCAGCTACGAGTTGAAAGCAGCCGGTTCTCAGGGCATGCTGGGTGACTTTGCTGTGACTGCCTGCCCGGCCCGCCCCTCACCTGCACTCCTCCCCAGCCCCCTGGCTTGGGTCTATACAGTCCACCCTGGCCTCCCCTCTCTGGCCACACAGCCTCAGTCCCAGGATAGCCTTGGCCTCCATGAGCCTGCACAGGCCCCTCCGCATGGGCAGACCTGGACTCCCTGGCCCAAGATGGCTTGAACCCGTTTCTCAGGGTTTTTTTTCTCTCTGTTTCTCTCATGTTCTCTACGTTAATCAGTTTGGCTGTGTTTCATCTGGGGTTCTTCCAGCCCCTCTACTGAGAAACCAGCCTTGACAACAAGTGCCCCCAGAGCCTGCCCGAGCTGGAGCCATTGCCCACTCAAACCACACAGCCGTACCAAGGCCACAGCAAGATCACCCCCGAGATGCTGTCCCCCTGGTGTCTGCTTCCAACTCTGGATTAATTCGAGGATCTCCTGGTCCTCGGTTAATGTTTCCCAAAACTGAATGCGTGCACCCTCCCAACCTCGCTGGCGAAACCGAATGAGACCCGGGTAGCGAGATCTGCATGACCACAGTTCTGTGTAGACATGTCGATGGTGGTTGCGGCCCTGCCCTCTGCGTGCATGGTGCATGTCCTCTGCAGGAGCTGGAGCCCCTCCAGCGACCTCACCGCCCCACCCTCGGACAGCTCTCTTTGGAAGGGGGCAGCAACCCTGCGACCCGCCTGGCCCCGCTCCACCCCACCCTGCCTGCGTGTGCAATGAAGCAGGGTCCACCTCCTGTCTGTCCTTGTGGGTCCTTCCGTCTCCATCCCCGGTGGTGCGTTCAGCCGCATTGGTAGACCTTTCCTTTGCTTGTCCCGCTGTGTCACGGCCGCGGTGGGTCAGGGCCCTGGGCGCCGCCGCCCCTCACCCGCCTCTCCGCTCTGTTGCAGAACCGCATGCACGAATCTCTGAAGCTTTTCGACAGCATCTGCAACAACAAATGGTTCACGGACACGTCCATCATCCTGTTTCTGAACAAGAAGGACATATTCGAAGAGAAGATCAAGAAGTCCCCGCTCACCATCTGCTTTCCTGAGTACACAGGTAGAGACCCTGCCCAGGACAGCAGGGGCCCGCTCAGGACTTGCCGAGGGAGCAGGCCCCCTTTCCAAAGCCCACGCCACTTTGCCCTGAGAATCTAGCTCAAAGCAGGACGCCCTCCCCACCCTGGGATACGCTGCAGTGAGAGGTCGGGGGCGGCCATGGGGGCTTCCCGGTCAGGGCATGCCAGGCCGGAATCTGGGCTCTGCTGCTCACTAGCCCCGTCCTCCGCACACTTGAGATTGTCTGTGAAGTGGGGTGCCAAGGCGACGGAGGGGCGATGAGCACGAGCTCACCCTGTGTTTGCCCTTAACTGTGGCCGTCACGGCCATGGCAGGCAGGCGTCCTACCACTGCCTGCCTCACAGGTGGCCTGTCGGGTGTGACAGAGCCTTGCAGGCAGCAGGGTCCTGGCCACCTGCACGAGTCGGTGAGGCTGTCAGTGCTGCCGCCGACTTACCTGACTGTGGGACGGACGGGCAGCGAGGAAGGAGCCGAGGCGCTGCAGGGGTGGCCGTGCGGCAGCAGGCTGAGAGCAGGGCCCTGGGATGTTCTGAGTGCTTGTAAATCCTCCCAGGTGTCCAGGGCCTGACCAGAGAGGTGCTGGAAGGAGAGGCAGGGGACTCAGCCTGGCCGGCCTGTGAGCCCAGAGAGCACAAGGCAGTAGCACCCTGCGGGCCACCGGGACATCCTGAACCCTCCTCCCCCAGGGTGGACTTGGGGCTGGGCAAGTGGCACAACTCTCCCCTGCCCTTCCATGCCACCCCTCCCTTCCCCAAGGTCAGTTGATTGCCCCAGGAGGCCAGCACCCCAGGAACAGCCAGCTTCCTTGTGGATGCCACGCTGTGAGGTGACCTGTAGCCTGAGGGCGGGTGAAACCGGCGGGGTGGGTAAGTCACCAAGGCCAGTGTGGCTGGAGCAGGGAAGGAGAGGGAGTCTGCGGAGCTCACTGTGGCCCGGGGCTGCTTCCCTCAGCTCCAGCCCTCGAGGCCAGTCCTGG